GATGTTGTCACACAAAGTAATTAGCAAGCGCTCTTCACCCTGAAAAAGATTTGTGTGAAAGCAAGGGAGGAGGAAGGAGAGAAGGAGCCACAGATTCTGAGAAACAGATCCCCCCTGGCCTGGGGGATCCAGGGTGGGCCTCAGACCCTTGCTTCTTGTCTGGAACCTCCCTTTGCCAAAATTTCAGGCTTTAGAGTGGAAATATTTTTGGAGCCACAAGTAAGAATCAGATTCTATTTAGGTCAAGCTTTGCTAAAATTCATTTGGAGAAGTTTAAAGACTGGGTCAAGGGAAACGAAAACCCCAGTATCCCCTTCCTTACACACTTCATCCTTTGTTTTATGAAGATATGGGACAAACTGAACTAATAAACATGCTTAAAACAGTACCTGGCCCAGAATGGATGCTATAGCACTCTTTGATTTCCTGCCACAACTATAAATGATCATTGTTATCATTACTATTATTGTGACCTGACTTTCCTTTTGATTTGAACATAAGAAGTAGGTAAGGAAATCACAAGCCATAATCTTGCTTTTTTTCCATTACTTTCCATTAGCAGTGCAGAGCAATAAGCTAAATGAGACAGGGTAGTTGAGATTATTGCACCCTTGGGGGCAGCTGTGTGTGTGGCAGGGCAAAGGGAAGCCCACTGAAAATGAAAACAGGGACAAGTTCGATGGAATGCCTGCGACTGAGAGTTGCTGTTGGGCTGTACTGCCCATGGGGGATGCCCCAGGGAATGAGCCAGAAAGATCTGAGCCCCAGATATGGGCTCTGCACCTGTGCATTATCTAGCTGTGAAAATTAATGAGTACCTCTGAGCCACTGTTTCTTCTTTCACAAATGAAAATGATTAAACCGCCTCCCAGGGAGGAGGAAACCATCTGACTCCTGCTCTGAGAGGGTTCTAGTAACAATGTTTACAATGGAACAACAAAAGATTGAGGTAGGTGGGCAAACTCCACACCAGGGAATGTATGTGACCAACTTACAGTTAACCTGAATATATATATACACAATATAATAAGCTATAATTAATATTTGCAAATAAATAGAGAAATGATTCAGGTGCTCTATCTAATCCCTTCTCAGTAAGGGATCTTTGGAAAGCCCTATCCAGGTATGCCTCATCCTAAACACCTCTGCCCTGGTTCTTTGAGGACCCTCTTCCTTGGCTCCTTGTGGCCCCTGGTTCACCTGCCTTTGCCTCACCTGCATCCAGTCCATGTCCAGCCATGCAGAACCAACCCTTCTCAATGCTTGAACTTCAGACTTTAAAACTCATCACTTTTACCTCTATAGACATTACAGGTTGAAAATCTATTTCTCTCATCAAACTGAGAATAACCTCATAGGGTTGTTAAAAGATAGTATTTTAATCCAGTTAGCACAATGCCTGATGCCTATATAGTAAAACTTGTTTATGCTAGCTCCTTTCATCACCATCACCAGCCTCACCCTCATCATCACTATCACCATTATTACCATCCTCACCATCCTCACCATCATCCTTTTATTGTGCTACTCTTCAAGATGGTCCCCAAAAAAGGCCCTTTAAAATCACTTCCAGCAGTTTCTCTTTAGAAAATGATTTTACAAAGCACCCTGTCTGTAGGAAGAAGGTATCTTTCAAGAGGAGGATTACAAATTAAACAATAAAACAAATCAAAAATTCCTTGAAGATTCCAAGGTCATTCACTTTATGCTGATATCCTCAACCCTACTTGAAACCAATCAAAGTGCAGTTTCATTATTTTTTTCAAAGGTAGGCAGTTAATTTATCTCCAAGGGGGTAACCTGGCATCTTTATCCTAAATTCATGATGGAACCAATGTAATCTCATTTTAAGGTGTTAACTTTCTACTCCTTTTAGAGCTACTTAGATGCTGGGTTGAGGGACCATATAGTGGCCTGGATTCAGTGTGCTCTCAAGTAGAAACCAGCAGAAATCAAAAGGCCCGTGGATGGGGCATCCTCAAGGTTCATTTGTAGATAAGACATTGCTAGGATCAAGATGTTTGGGATTCTACCCCTGTATGGTTTAGATGTGGTGTCCCCCAAAACTCACATATAAGACAATGCAAGAAGGTTCAGAGGAGAAATGATTGTGTTATGAGACTCTTATCCCAATCTGTGACTTAATCCCCTGATAGGGAGTAACAGTGGTAACTGAAGTGGTGGGGTGTGGCTAGAGGAGGTGGGAATTGGGTCGTGGCTTGGGGTATATATTTGTTTCCAGCCACTGGAATCTCACTTTGCTTTCTGATCACCATGTGAGCTGCTTCCCTCCACCAACTCTTCTGCCATAATGTTCAGCCTCACCTCGACCCCGAGGAATGGAGCTGGCCTTCTATGGACTAAGACCTCTGAAACTGTGAGCCCTCAATAAACTTTTCCTCCTCTACAATTGTTCTGGTTGGGTCTTTTAGTCGCAGCAGCAACAAAGCTGACTAAAACAATCTCAGACCATGATGTAGTAATGGAGGGGAAGTGACAATCTCTCTGATGGCCCTGCGAGAGGAGGTGAGGTGGCATCTTCAGAGAGAGGCCCTGCGTTCAGCAGCAGGTCGCTCCTGTCCCCAGGAAGACAACCAGGAAACACAAGAACGATTTCCCAAATTTGCATTAGTCTAGTCGGCATCTCCCCTGAGATTTTGTAATTAGCTTTGTTTTGATTCTGTGCTCACTGCCCAACCTCTCCATCCTGATTTTGCTCTCTCCAGGCACCTCAATACCCAAAGAGGTGCCCCTGGATTATTGGAAATAAATACTTCAGTTACTGGAATGGTACAGCCTATCAGCATACAGAAATAAATTTCTTATAGCCCCCAAATCAACTATTTGTAAATTTAACATGATTCAGTCCCTCAACATCTAGCAAGCACCAAGTACTTTTGGAAGAGATTATCAAAACACAAAGAACCAAACTAAATCAATATTTCCTTGAGCACATTTGTGCCTCAGTTTATTCACTTATAAAGCAGAAGGAGGTAATAGTGCCTACTTTATATGTTCATTGTGAGGATGAATGATTAATAGATATAAATCATTGATATGCAAGCAAGTATATGAAATGATTTAACCTATGGAAAGTCACTGGATGAGAGCCCGTTATTCATAGTGACCCACAAGGCACTACTTGTTCACAAGAATGCCCTGCTGGCAGCCAGCTGGCAGATCTCTTTCCTGGCTTTCTTGAACAATTCTTAAAGTATTACCTTTTCTGGCCACTCCACTCTGAAAACTAGACTTCAAATAAAAACTACAGTCGGGGGGTTCATGAACACATGATCTGTGCTGTTGCATGGGACCTGTACTGGTTTAAAGCTCAGCTATTCCAATTTTGAAATTCTTGATAATTTTTCAACAACAGATCCCTCATTTCTATTTTGTACTGCGCCTCTGCTATGGTTTGGATAAGTGGGTAAAGTCTTGGTCCCCAGCCTGTGGCACTATTGGGAGTTGGTGAAGTCTTTAGGGAGTGGGGGACTAGTCAAAAAGTCTTAGGACACTGAGAGTATGTTCTTGAGGGAAACTGTGTGGAACCCTGGGCTTTTCCTCTCTGCCTTTGGCCAGCCACGAGGAGAAGAGCATCTTGTTCCACCACGAGCTCCCTGCCATGATGTTCTGCCTCGTGACAGTCTCATATCGTTGGGGCCAACCAATCATGCACTGAAAGCTCCATCACTGTAAGCCAAAATTTGTTATAGTAATGGATACCTGACTAGCACAGTTCCACAAATTATATAGCCAACCCTAGCTATGCATGACCCAAGGATTAGCCAATTGAACTTGGACAACAATTTCCTTTCTAGGTGGTTCTTTCCTAGTTTCATGTTATGGAGACAATGACAAGAGAAGTGGGATTAATACAGCCACAGACCCAGCCTTGCACACTGAGCAGAGTGGTGACTTCCTGGACGTGTAGCATCATTGCCAAGCTACAGGCAATAAGTCCTCTTTCAAGGGTCTTGGTGGACTCATGGAAGACTAAAAGGACTCTGGATGTGTCTGCCATTCCTATAATCCCTCCTCCCCTAATAAGGAACTCACTCGGTAATTCGTTGGGAGATGATTTAAATTATTCAGAGGTACAGAGGAATCAGCTTAGCCTTCAGCACAGGCAGTGGCCCCAGAACAGCAGCCGTTGCAGGAAAACTGAGAACTCAAGATCATCCCAGCTGAGACCTCACGATGGCCACCACTGCAGGGAAGGGGGATGATAGCTACTTCAGAAAAGCAATGGCTGCCAGGCAGCTTTCCCAGGCCACTGCCATGGGAGGAAGGGTTTTAGCTCCAAGGAGTTTCTCCCACCCCTCCCCCACCTCCTCCCAGTGAACCAGGAGGCTGTCCTGTCTGTCTGAACATCCCTACAAGACACCCACAGGAACTGTCTGCTCGGGTGGAAGGAACTATGGTTGCTTTTCTACTAGATTCAGTCACAGGAGTTAGAGGCAGAATGTTGTATAGCACTCTTCCTTTCAGTTTCTGATAGGGAGTGGCCCAAGGAGAAACGGAGTCTATAAATATATGGTCCCAGTGCATTGCATGTAGGAATGCACTCTCTTCACACAGTGAGTCTGACTTTGGTGCTGGTAGCCATGAAATCGCTTCTCCATTCCCAGGTTAGTGCCTACCATCTGCTGATTCTCCCATCCACAGCCCTGCAGTGACCATGTCATTTTGCAGTGGTTACCCACAGCAAGGATGTGTGGGCCAGTTTTTTGAAACACTGCCACAAAGCCCCTGTAGAGAAACCCAACTACGTGTCCCGGCTCTCCATCATTCAGCATCTTTTTAGTTTAGTTTAGTTCTCTTCGTTCTGATTTTAGAGCCTAGAAATGCAGCACAAGACATTTCTAAGCTGGGAATCTGCCATCCTGTTGCAGGACTGCAGCAGCAGCCGCCTCAGATAAATATTTTTTTCCAAGGCTGCAGAGAAAATTAGGGCTGGAAAAAATATTTGTCGATTGCCAGTTTTTCCCACAGACACTTACATAAGAGTTCATGCTGAGACAAGCTGTCCTGCCCAGGCTCAGGATCAAGAGTTACAGTTCTGGGGACAACGACAGAAATAACGTGGGAACTACGGCACTGTGGCCCATGACGTCCAGGAAGGAAATGCAAGTTGTGTGTGGCGATTAGTCCTGTCAAATGACGTGATGGTTTCCTGGGGTGTTTTCAAGCTTTTGGATGGCGGCATGGTCTATAAAGAGGGGAAAAGTCTCTCTGCACAAGATATGGTGAAAGAATTGCTCCTGGTTTTCCATTTTTAAGATTAAAACAATGCAGACACAACAGTGAGTGAGCTGAAGGGAAGAGTCAAAAGTTCAGGCACATTCTGACCTTTCAGATCCATCCTGACTTGCTAAAGGCTACATCAAGACACACAGCACCCAAATCTGGGAGCGGTTAAAACCTGGGGTGAAATTATGTACATTTTGTTCAATAGTTTATTGCAAAAGAAAAAGAGAAAGAAAGAAAAGAAACATACTAAACCTTTTCTTTGCAAAACAAACATGAAAATCTCACTCTGCTAGGAAAAAAAATGCAAAACCCGTAGACAGATTGTGTTTAAAGGTCCAAGGGGACAACTTGCCTCCCCCACAGCATTACTGAAAAGCAGATGTGATGGGCAGAGGCATAGGATCAAGCTTGGTGAAGCAGCCGCGAAGCAGTCTAAACTGTTCTCAACATCTTCCTCTAAGGGAGATGCAAGGCCTCTTTGTGTAGACTGTTCCAGCCTTCAAGTGAATATTTTTAAAAAAGGGGGGGTTTTCCTCCATATGTTTTAGCTTAACTTCTAGTTTAGATGTGGGCCCATTCATTCTTGTTTGTTCCTCAACAGCCTTCGTGAGTAATTGCCCATTGACTTTTCTGCCAGTCATGCCTAGGTGTGCATTTTTCTTACTCCAGACACACCTAACTCTTAGCGCTGTCATCACAAATAAGGTTTCTACTTGATGTTTTGTCACAACAAGTTGAAACCAGCACAGCCTTGCACAGAGGTGATATTTATTCACTATTTTGATAATGGGGTCATCATCTCTCTCTCTCTCCTTTGACTTTTCTAAATTTCATCCTCTTCCCTAGTTTTCTTTCTTTCCTCTCTGCTGCCAAAGCATTGGGCTTACCAGCCAATTGACTGAGTACTCTCTAAACCTCTGATTTATACCTAAAAGGCACTTACTTGAGGATTCCAAAGTTGGCCTAAAACTCGTAAGTGTGGGCCATGATTTATTTTAAGTAAGATGTGGTCCAAAAAGGAGCTAAGGTAACAGGACCCTGGATTTACCTGCCAGACCCCATGTGCTGAAACCTTTGTGATTTCTCACCTGGGTCATTTCGCACTTTCTCCATCTGCTGATTCCTCCATAAACCATCATGGTCAGGTTGAACTCCAAGACCAATTGTTTCTGATCTTTAGTTTGTTTTTCAAACTCTCTAGAAAATAGAAAAAAATCAAGAACACAAGGTCCTAAATTATTCAGGAACCATGAGTTGCCAACGGAATAAACAGATATTGAACCAATGTTAAGCCTAAAAGAGCAATGTATTTGTTCATGTAACCAAACTTACCCCCCACCAACCCTGCAAAAAATAAGTTGGTGGATGGAGGGACCTTGAGAAACTCTTAAGACTCTCTCACACTTTTCTTTTTGCTTCTACCTGCTGCCATTTTGCAAACCTGCTCCTCCATGAGGTGAGGATACGGCCTCCAATGAAGCTTATCTCTCCATAGCTTATGAACTGAGCAGAGAGAAGTCCCCACATCACACACCATGGATTAGAAGAATGATGCTGATTGGCCCATTAACTATGACAAAGCATGGGAGCTATGTAATTGACCTCCTGAGTCACATGTCTCTCTCCGTGGCCAGGGAACAGGGTCTGTTACCAGGAGGAGTAGGAAAGTGGCAGTAGGCATATTAAACAATGGCCACCATAGCACTAAGGAAAAAAGAGCTCTCGAAGGTCCCAATGCGACAGAAAGATGACTCCTTCCTTGGGTCTTCCTCCCTTTCCTCATGATCCCAAGTGAGGGTTAAATACTACATGTGGTCTAGGGAACTCAGACCCTGCCCACAAAGATTTAATAACATTTAGCATCCCATCATCTTGGTAGGGAAAAGATGAAAAGTGATAGTTGGCCTGATATTACCACCAATACCAACAAAATAACTAGAAATAAAATTTGGAGTTCACAGAATATCATAGACTCAAAAGAATTAGAAAGGATCCAAGGGAATCTAGATAATGTCCTACCCTTAGTCAGAGCTTTATAAGAAAGGGTCCTGACGAGTGACGAAAGGTGCTCTGGGGATCTTGCAGTAGGTGTGGCTCTATAGGGAATCTCATAAGATCCCTTGGATTCGATGAGATCATGAGTCTGCAGAATTGATTGATTTCCCTCCTTAAATTGGCCAGGATGTTTTCCCTCCTTATTCCCTCTTATTAATGGTTTTAATGACCAGCAGGCCTTCACATTAGGTTCCTTCTAGATGTCTCACATATTAACTCCCTGTGTTTAGATAAAGCCCAAATCCTTAGGAACATGATGTGTCTCCCTTTGGTTTTCATCCCAACCTTTGTGTGCCTCCTTTTCTGTATATTTTGGCATTTTCGTTCCTTTCCTTTGAGTCTTGGCCAAATTCACCAATTCACAGCTCTTTAGAGAAGGATGAGGTTGAAAACAGAGGTCTAGAAAATCTTCAGAGTGAGTTTTCCAGGCCACAGAGAATTAAGAGAAATAGTGAGAGGGGTTCTCATTTTGTTTCTTTGCTGTGGTAGGAAGAACAATGGTGTCCCTAAAAAAATGTTCACATCCTAATCCCTAGGACCTCTGAATATGTTATGTTACGTGGCAGAGGGAAATTAAGGTTGTGATTAAGATGACTTAAATGGATTCCCCAGGTGGGCCCAATGAAAACATATGGGTCCTTAAAAGTAGAAGGAGGCAGATGAGGAGGCCAGTCAGGGTGACATTAGGTAAAAAGGACTCCACCTGACTTTGAAGATGGGAACACAGGGCCTCAAACCAAGGAATGCAGCAGCCCCTGGAGTCTGGAAAAGTCAGGAAAATGTCACTCTCCTGGAGTCTTCAGAGAGAATCGCACCCTGTTAACACGTTGATTTTTGCCTGGTGAGAACCATGTTGGACTGCTGACCTATAAACCATAAGATAATAATTTCTGTTGTTTAAACCAGTACATTTGTGGTTGTTCGTTATAGCTACAATAGGAAATGAATTCAACTCCTGTTTATCCTTTTGTGTTTTGAAATGTTAGTTCCTTGAGGATTCCAATTGCTGGACTAGGTAGAGACAGGATAGCATAGTAGACAAAGAGAACAGATTTGACTCTGCTACCTCCTTACCTGGGGCTGTGGAAAAAATCGATTTTTCTGGACCTTGGTTTCCCCATCTACAAAACAAGGTATTTTATAAATGGTCCTCCAATCCTTTAAGTTCTGGACTGGCATTTGGACATTCCATCTCTGCTCCCTTAATAGCCCCTACCTTTGATCAATGATGGCAGCCCCAGGGACAACTGAGCTGTCCTCTGACCACGGGCAGCAGAGCTCTGGATAGGGAGAGAAGGCCAGCAGGTCATAACCCTATCCAGGCTTGTCCTTAGGTACGGAGAGAAGGCACAGAAGCTGTGCTGTGTGCTCTCTCTTCTCAGGAAACATCTTAGTGCCAATAAGGAGCACTGTGGGGCTAAATGCTAGAGACTTCTAAACCCCAATAGGTCACTTAAATCCTCCTGGAGGAGAGGAGACTTGTATTGGCCTTAAAAGATAGATAAGCTCTGGGTAAGGATATTCTAGGCAGAGGCCTGGAAAGAAGAAAGGCCCAGAATGCTTAGAGCATGGTGAATGAACTAGGTTGATAGAGGAGAAAGAAGATTTTGTGGTGGTCATGAGATCACAGAGACATATTAAAACCCCATGATGGGGGCCTTGAAAGAATTCAGAACAAGGACCTGAAGACTGAGTGAACTCCTTCAGGCCCTACTGTACCTGGTACCATGTTTGCACAAGGCTTAGAATAGTGGCATGTATATAATAGGTGCTCAAAATTTGTTGAGCAACTGAATGAGTAGGCACTGCTATAATTTGAATCTCAAGTGTCTCCCAAAAGACTGTGTGTTGAAGGCTTGGTTCCCCAGGGTGGTACTATTGGAAGGCAGTAGAACATTTATGAGGTGGGGCCTGGTGGGAGATCCTTAAGGCACTGGCCTCTTTCTAAGTTGATTACCTCAGGTATTTGTTATAGACACAGTAAGCTACCACAGGCACCAATGATTTTTGAGCAGACATTACAATAACCCACAATGAGCTTAAGGGAGATGAGTGGGACCTCAGTATGCAGAGTGGATCCAGGGAGCAGAGATGGACTGTACAAAAACCAGTTGAGAAGCTTCCAAAGCAAGAGTCAAGCTGGCGTGTTGGAGTGTGTGAAACAAAGGGGAGATGCCCATGTGCCATTAAGATTTTCCCTAAGCCATCCCAGCTGGGAGGATGTAATTTTCATTCATGCAAATCTCTAAGGAAGGAGACCCACCACCTAAGGAATAAGAACAAGGCAATGTCCCAGTCAGGCCCACACTCTCTGAGCAAAAGCTTTAGGCAGCCATGTAAAGCATCTACAACCCACATATTTTCAATAGAAATGACCGCTAATTTCCGCACAATTATTCTCCCTGTAATCAAAGCTGGTTCTTCGTTTACCCTTCCCTTCCCTAGACTCAACAACTCTAATTTCCCCTAACTGCTTCCAAAGGTTCATTTGCCAAGTCTTCTAATTATTTCGATGTTTTCCTTCTGATCCCTGTCCAAGTTCCCTCTCTCCTAAGTCATTTACCTGAATCCGAAGACTAGATTTGCTCCAGTAGCGCTCATCTGCTGTGTCTGCTTTTCCTCTAAGCAGTGGGCAAGGAGCACAGCTCTGCTCCAGGAGGGAGACCTAGTCTCATGGGAACATTCTAGTTAAGAGGCAGTACCAAGGACTCAGGCTGTCCTTGCCAGAAATCAAAAAGAAGCCCATCTCCAGACAATGT